TGTAAAAAGGCAAGCTTTGTATGTTTTGGGATGGGTGTGCATAAGTTTCCTAAACTGCTGTCACAAGTTAGTACCGAAAACTGGGTGGCTTACAACAGCAGAAATTTCTCCTCACAGTTCTGGAGGCTGGAAGTCTGAAATCAGTGTGTCAGCATGCCACACTCTCTCTGAAGGCCCTCGGGAAAATCTATTCATGCTTAGCTGCTGGTGTTGCTGACCATCCTTGTTGTTCTTTGACTGGCAGATGTATCACTTCAGTTTCTGCCTCCTTTGCCTCCTGACTTTCTACCCATGTATCAGTGTGTCTTATCTTCTTATAAGGACAATACAATAATCATATTGACTTAGAGCCCACTAATTTGATATAACCTCATCTTAACTTGATTCCATGTCCAAAGATTTTATTTCCAAATACAGTCACATTCACAGGTGCCAGGATGAAGATTTCCAGATATCTGTTTGTGGGACACAATTCAATATAAAAGAACATATCATGTTTTTGTCTTTGGATGTGTTCCTGAAATTCAGGGAAATTTCTCTTTTCCTTGTTTATCTAATTTTGATTGATTTGACTTTAAGTGTCTATTTTTTTCTGTTTTATTTTACAGCGAAAATGGGCTGGACTTTCTATTGGGCAAGATATAGAAGGTAGGTAAATATTTTAGTTCCCTGAGGGAGATTTTCTTTAAGATTTTCTCATAGTTATGGAGATCTGTACAACTTTCTGTTACTGGTTGTTAGGTTGTTGCACACTTATTATAATCATAATATTGGCTAGATCTATGAAACTGTTGTTTTGAGGAAGATGCAGAGGCCTTTTGGAGGTAGCGGGGGGGCTGTTGTTTCTCCACAAGAGTCGAGTGAGGGAGGAATAAAAGTAGAAAGAGAGTGTTGCTCACAGTATGTTTGAATTGATTCGGATGGGGAAGAACACCTGTAGTGATTATTACTGTGTTTTAAAATCTGTGCCTGTGTCTCTTAATGACAGCCACGTAAAGCCCCTTGTGTGTGTGTGTGTGTGTGTGTGTGTGTGTGTGTGTGTGTTGATTTTATAGAGGAAGGAGAGGGGAACGAGAGATAGAAACATTAATGATGAGGGAGATTCTTCGATTGGCTGCCTCCTGCACGCCCCCTACCTGGGATCGAGCCCACAACCTGGGCACGTGCCCTTGATCAGAATTGAACCTGGGACCCTTCAGCTTCCAGGGCTCTATCCACTGAGCAAAACGGCTTGGGCTATAAAACCCCCTTTGGGTTAAGTTGTGTTAGGATTCATTCTGTCGAAACTTGTAGTTACTTAAAACACAGCAAGTATTTGGTGTCCCTGTAATTTTTAAAAATGCTTCTTTTTTTGCCCTAGTGTCCTTATATACATTTGACAAGACCAAACAGTGTGTTGGCACAATGACCATCGAGATTGATTTCCTACAGAAAAAAAGCATCGACTCTAATCCTTATGATACTGACAAGATGGCAGGAGAATTTATTCAACAGTTCAACAACCAGGCATTCTCAGTGGGACAACAGGTAGCTTGAAATTTTCTTTCATTCCTTTCTCTTTATAGGCATTCTAATTCCTGCAGTTGTCCAAAAATTATTCTACCCTTAAAAAACTGAGATTAGTTCTGCATATGAACAGGTATATGTAAGATGAGTGATGACAAGTGAGGGAAATGTTTAGAAAAATTCTGAAGACACCTTAGGTTACAGTGTGATATATGATTACCACAGCTTTTCTATCTGTAAATTGAGAATACTGGGAACATACATATCTCAAATTTCTTCTTTGCTAATTGTGGGACATTTGTATAGTCTTTGGGTAGCTTTCTCTTTAATAATACATTTCTGTGAAAAGTAATTCTTAACTTTTTTTGGTTATGAACCTCTTTGAGGATCTTAAGGAAATTATGTATGTATGTTTTCAGGTTTTTTCATAGAACCTCTGAAGCCCTGATTTTCTCTTTTTTAAAATGGTATTGCTGATGATGGCTGTTTGTTTGGACTTCACTTACTATCATATTGTTAACTTCCTAGGGAGAAATTCTGTCCTTTTAAAATTGTACTCTTAAAAAATATGTGAGCCGAAACCGGTTTGGCTCAATGGATAGAGCGTTGGCTTGGGGACTGAAAGGTCCCGGGTTCGATTCCGGTCAAGGGCATGTACCTTGGTTGCAGGCACATCCTCAGTAGGGGGTGTGCAAGAGGCAGCTGATCGATGACTCTCATCGATGTTTCTAAACTCTCTATCTCTCTCCCTTCCTCTCTGTACAAAATCAATAAAATATATTTAAAAAAATGTGAATTTATAAATTTATCTTTGTACACAACCTATATAATAAAGAGTTCATGTGCTAATTAGACCGAACAGCAGATCGACTGTGCAGACGACTGTATAGATGATCTTCCTGACAAAGCCAGGGCTGCCAAGGCCGAGCCTCTTGCACGAATTTTGTGCATCGGGCCTCTATACATATATAAGTAGTAATTATTGCTCCTATGCCCTTACATTTGTTTTCTTTATGACTTTTCTTAACCACTCCTAATTCCTTCCTCCTATCATAACTCCATAGCCACGGTCCTCAAAATGTGTCCTAAGGTCCCTGGAGGTCCCTAAGGCTCTTTCAGGGGGTTTGCAAAGTCAATAGCTATTTTCATATTAATACCAAGACATATGTGTCTTTTTCCTCTTATTCTGTCTGGATAGTTGTTCTGCTGTTTGGTCTAATTAGTATATTAGTTCTTTATTATACAGGATGAGCAAATGGTGCAGTTTTATAGATATGTGCTAGTGTAGCATATCGACTGCTAAAACAGTCATGGAGGCCAACTGTCTTCCATGAAAGAGATTTGTGAAAAGGTGACTGTCACTCTTCCAACTTGTGTTTTTTTTTTTATTTTGGACATTAGGGAGTATTTTATAAATTAAAAATGTTATTTTTGCTAACGCATCATGAATTTATTAGTTAATTTTAGATTAATAAATAAAATTTAAGTTCCTTTGTTCTAATTTTTAATATGGTAAATGTCATCAATAGAAATAATTTATATAAACAAAGGCCTTTGGGGGGCCTCAAAAATTTCTATTCTTTAAAAAAATATTTTTATTGATTTCAGAGAGGAAGGGAGAGGGAGAGAGAGAGATAGAAACATTAAAGATAAGAGAATCATCCATCTGCTGTCTCCTGCATAACCTCTACTGGGGATCAAGCCTGCAACCCAGACATGTTCCCTGACTGGGAATCAAACCATGACTTCCTGGTTCCTAGATCAAAGCTCAACCACTGAGCCACACTGGCCGAGCTAAACTTCATTGTTTCTACCTTCTCCTTTAGCTTTAGTATTTTAGTAGAAAATGCTTAGAAGAATGTTTAATAGAAAATGCTTTGATATTTGTAATAATTTAAACCTAATAACATATGGATGTCTATAAACCCATGAAATAAAATTCTCTATAATATAGAGAAGAAATAAATATCTTACCCCAAATCACTGTTCTTAGTATTTATTCCCTTTCGAAATAAATAGTAGTAGCAGGATTGACAGTCAACATTGTCGGTTATATTTATTGTTATACCCCAGAATGCGAAGAGAGCCTAGCTTGCAAAAGGCACTCAATAAACACTTGGCAAATCGATGCATCTGGTGCTGTCTTTGCACTCATGTGACAGGCATTTAGTATTGGTTTTAGAAAAGCATGGATATCAGAGTCTCAGACCCAGGCTGACTCATGGCACCGTCATTTACTGTGACTCTGGGTCACATTTCTTAGTCCATCTCTGGATCTTAGCTTCCTCACTAGTTAAAACTGAGGAGTAATTTGTTTCCAAAAGAGTTTGTGAATATTAATTACATAACCTGTGGTGATTGTTAGGTATACAGCAAATAACTCAGTAAGTGTTAGTTCCCTTTTCCTCTCATTGGCTAGTGGGTAGTTTGTCCATGAAGCAGATATAAAAGGAACACACAGGACAAAGATGCTTTTCTGCCTTTAGAGAATATTGCTGATGATGTGAGAATGAAGCATTGTATCATAAAGTGATTTTTCTGCCCTTTCCTTTTTTTCTACATAGCTTGTATTTAGCTTCAATGAAAAGCTTTTTAGCTTAGTAGTAAAGGATATTGAAGCCATGGATCCCAGCATCCTGAAGGGAGAGCAGGGGACAGGTAAAAGACAAAAGGTATGTTTTATTGATAATTTTTATTTGATAATTTCTATGATGTAAATTGTGGAGATTAATAGAATTTTCCTACCCATTCTCTTGTTCAGTGATTTCTTTCATATTATGCACTCTTTCTTTTATGATAGTAGGGAGAGAAAATTGCTTTTATAGCAAGCATTATTATTAAAATACTAGAAGCCTGGTGCACGAATTCATGCATGGGTGGGATCTCTTGGCCTGGCCAGTGATCTGGGGCGATCAAGGCCTGCTCACCTAGTCATCCTCCCTATGGGAGGTTGGCCAGCCACAGGATGTTAGCTGTGGTAGCTCACTGACCACTAGGGGGAAGCTCCTGCATTGAGCATCTGCCCCCTGGTGGTCAGTGCTCATCATAGTGACTGGTCAATTGGTCGTAACAGTCGCGTAGGTTTTTATATATATTAGATGGCATAAAATACACTTATTTCCAGACCTACTAATAATTTGAAATTTGTAATCCTGGTTAAATGCAGATAATATGTATTGTAAATAAATAATAATAAGACAGGCATCATGAAAAAATATATTCATTGAAATAAAGAAAACAGGAATAATTAAAAGATAGGTATGACAAAAGAAAATGTAAATTAGGTGATAGTTGGAAGATTTGCTCTGCTCAGAGAGACGTCATTTCCTCTTTGTTTTTGACTTTGCTTTAAGTTTAAGAAGTCCAGAAGTCTGCTATAGACTATTAATTATTCTCTTTCTGCACAGATTGAACTAGGCTTGGTTCTTGGAAATAGTCAAGTTGCATTTGAAAAAGCAGAAAATTCATCACTCAATCTTATTGGTAAGACAGTTTTTAGAAGATTCTGAATAACTCTGTTATATGTGACTCAACTACAGTGATTTTCAAGTGGGAAAGAGAATAGGGGCATCTCCCTTGAGAAAGCTTTTCACAAAATCACAATGAGCTAATGTAGTAAAAGTTTAAAACCATCACTAGATCAGCATTGTCTAATAAAAATACAATGGGAGCCACATATGTAATTTTTAATTTCCTAGTAACCACACTATACATAAGGAAAAAGATACAGATAAAATTAATTTTTAAAGTTTTTATATTGAGATAAGTTTAGGCTTACAGAAGATTTGCAAAAGTAGTTCAGAATTTCTGGATAGCCTTTACCAACACCCTCTGATGTTACATCTTAAATAACCATAGTACGGTTACCAAAGCTAAATTATCATGGTTACATTGCTGCTAACTAAATATAGGCTTCACTAGTGTTTTTTTATGTCCTTTTTCTCTTTCAGATTCTAATTCAGGACCCACATTGCATTTAGTTGCTTAGTCTTCATAATCTTCTCCAGTCTCTTAGCAGTACCTCAGACTTTCATGGTCTCTTATGACCTTGAGGACTGGTCAGTTATTTTGTAGACTGTCCCTTACCTGATTGTATGTTAAATGCAATACTAGTGTCACTTTGATTAGTGATGGAGTTAAATGATAAATGTGCAGGTAAATAAAGTCTTTACAACAGATTCACATTGTAGTCCTATTCTTTTATATTAGCCCCACTTTAAAAAGCAGATTGTACTTTAAGAAGTGTAACTCACCAGAATAATAATGCCATTAACTTTACAGAAGTTATTATTTTTTTATTAATTTAATAACTAAATTGATGTTTACTCCAATAGAAAGAGAATTTTCTTTAGTTGCATACTAGCATATCCAAGGTTATTTAATTTTCTTGGAATGTGTAGCCTTTTTTAATTCATAAATTATTATTCCCTTCTATTGTTTTTTTAATTATAAAGTAAAATATTTATTTTATAAAATATGGATAGACATCCAAACACAGCTCACACAACTTTAAAAATTTTTAATTTTATTCTGTTTTATAATTTATTCTTACTGATTAACACATTTCAACCATCTTAATAAATACACATTTCAACATTAATTTTAATAACTATATATGTCATTTTATGGATGTGGGATATATCAAAACCTATTATTTTAAAAATATATTTTACGTATTTATTTCAGAAAGGGAAAGGGAGAGAGAGAGAGAGAGAGAAACATCAATGATGAAAGAATATCATTGACCAGCTGCCTCCTGCATACCCCTTACCCAGTATTGAGCCCACACTCAGGCATGTGCCCTGATGGGGGAGTCAAACCGTGGCCTCCTGGTTGAGCCATCCTGGCTGGACTCAAAAATCTCCTGTTACTGATCAAATATATTTCCACAGCGTATTTTATGTTTTCTACACTTTTTGTTAGCTCAAAGGAATTGCATGACTTTCATACAGTGTGGATATTTCTAAGTAATTTCTGCGAAGGTGTGATTGATAGGTGTTTCCTTTTGGAAAATGAAATTGTGGTGATTTACCATACAGCAAGTTTGGCCACAAGAGGACAGTAGAGTGTAAGAAAAGTATTTTCCGTAGCTTTGTAAAGGAAATGTTAAGTCCACAAAACTCTAACCATAGAACTACTGTTTAAAATAAACTTTTTCTAATGCAACCTTTTCTTCCCTAATTTAATAAAACCTAAAATATTACTTTTTTATGTATAGTAATGTATTCCGAGGCACTTTTATTCTTTGTATTTGTGATAGTGAATGTGGTTCTCTGGAGTTACTTTAGGTGGCACTATAACATTTAAGTGAAATAATTTGTGTCTGAAAATTTGAAAACACGAATTTTGAAATCATTAAAGACTTTAGGATGATTTTAGACTTTGATGTACAAGTGAAGAAAAGCTAATAAGACACCAAACTTATTCAGTGCATCTTCCCAGGCTGAGGGGTTCATATACTCAATTATAAATTTAATCTAGATAAATACAAGTATTTTTAAATACACTTGCCTTAGGAGCCTTGAGGGACTGCTAGATTTCAGTTATATTTCTGGCAGCTGGTGTTGTCTTCATCAGATATGCACATGGTGTTTCTTCTAATCAACCAAATTAGTTAAATTGGTTAGGATTCCATGGATTGATTACAAACGGACTACAGCATGAGGTTAGCTAGTCATTTTGAAAGTTTTTTACTGACCCTAAAGGGGGACCAGACAAAGTAGTTAAGATAGCAAAACTCATTCTTATTAGAAAATCAGCTAAGAGCATGTTGTTCATCTTTGTATAAGGGTAGCCTTCCTTTGTTCATTGAGGATGCCCCGTGAGCTCTGTCTTTTATACTTACTGATGAAGTTCATGTTTCACTTTTGATTATCTTTGTTTAACATAGGCAAAGCTAAAACCAAGGAAAATCGCCAGTCTATCATCAATCCTGACTGGAACTTTGAAAAAATGGGAATAGGAGGTCTGGACAAGGAGTTTTCAGACATTTTTCGACGAGCGTTTGCTTCCCGAGTGTTTCCTCCGGAGATTGTGGAACAGATGGGTAAGTTTAAAAAGGAGAACTTGATGAAACCTTATCTTGTTTTTAAAAATAAATGTCATGAACTCTTTTTTCAGTTATGTTTTAAAATTATTCTTCAGGCCTTCCAAAGTATTTTTCTCTTTTAACTTCTTATAAAAAAAATTTTTCCCTAAAAAATCTTTGACAAGTTAGAAGGTTTAAAATTACATTTTAAATATATGAAGAAATCATAGAAACATTTGTGGCTTTGCTCCGCTTTTTAAATTTATTTATTCATTTATTTACTTATTCAGGTCTCTTTTTCTACTGTGCATATTTAGATATATCATTTTATGTAGTTATTTTAATGTTTTGCATAGGGAATATTTAAAAATTTCACCCGACTCTAAAGGTACACTATGAGTCAGATTTACCCTGCTGGATAATTACTATCTATTAGACTGTGGGCATTTTCTAATATTAGCTGCTGCTTTGTAGTGTGCTGTTGCATTACTTAATTAGTACATCTTCATACCTAGTAAATGGATACTTGGTATGTTCTTAAGTTTGATAAGTTTGATCCAATAAGACAAATGTAGGGTATTCATAGGAGTTTCCATATTATATACAAAAAAATGCACTATTCATTTATCACTTTCTTCTTGAAGGTTTATTTAATTTATCTGTGTGAAGTGGCATTATTTGCCCTAGTGGAAATGCTGTCATGACTGTTTTCATATCCATATTATAAGTTGGATTGGAATGTGAGCCACAGAATACCTCAGAAAGGAATTTATAACATAACAGCTTCTGGCAGACTATTAGTACAAAAACAGTATCCAAAAAAACCTGGAGGAATACGAATATATTACTTCTCTCACCCCCATCATTCTTTATCTTTCAATTGCTACCGGGAGATAAAGTACATACATAATGGTGGGGATAAGAACTGCTTTCTAGGCACTAGGGCTTGGTTCTATTAGCCTCCTATTGTTAGCAGCTTTTCTGCCTGGTCGCTCACTCTGATAAATTACAGGCGTAGCACACACCTGTTCGCTGGGTAAAGGTCGAATTGGAATTGGATTAAGAGAAAGTGACAGAGACCCTCAGCACCTGAGTTTCACACACCTTGAAATGGCAATAACATACTTTTTTATCTGAAAGATACAAAGGCCAACTCCATAAAAACAATTTTAATTTGGAAAATAGCAAAAAGTATGATAGTTCACTATCTTGGCAATGTATATTTTGAGGCATAATCCATAAAGCTTTTTGATCAAGATATGAAAATATTATTTAAGTATATTGTAAGTATAGGCAGAGATAAAGGGATTTCAAATGTAATTTATTCTTGTAGAATATTTTTTCTGGATTTCAAAGTGAGCTCTGATATAGAAAGAGTCTAATGATTCTGTTTCTTTGAGCATTATTCTATCCAGCCAACAAGCAGAAGAATAACTGCTTCTGTAAAGTCGTAAAGCCATACTTTTAAACTATATTATGAGTATTTTCTCACCTTTGGACTCTATGGAGGATTCAGCTATTCAGACACTATAGTTTTGTGTTTGTGCATTATCTAAACTCTGCTCATTTGGGGCTTCTGTCCGAGGTAGGTAGTTCATAAATAAGTAAAACTCATATTGGTTGATTTGTGATTTTGCCAGCTGTCAAAGAATTTGAAATTAAACCAGAACAGAGACAGCATTCTGAGTGACTTTAGTCTGTGTTTCTGCAACCCATATTGAAACCAATTAAATTATAATAGTATGCTTTTGTTTTTATTAACATGCCTTTTGACTATGGATTTGAATTTTGTTTGTGAGTGCTACTATCCAAAGCTCTTTTTATGTACTTATTTTTCTAATATTTTTACACTAATTTAATTAGACAAAAAAAAAAAAAGTTCTTTCGGTTTTTGTTTGCTTGTTTATTTTTTAAGTAATATATCTCTTCTCTTCATGGCTTTTTCCCATCAAGAAGCATATGCTATAAATTTGATTTAAACAAGAGTAAATATAAAGCTACCTTGGCTTTTGAGCTGATTGAAAGACATTGTCTTTATTCTGAATAAAGATTTTCAGTGTCCTATAGCTACTTATTTTAATGTTAAAATGGCTATGAAATAATTCTCTTGCTATGCATGTGCCATTCCCTATTTTCCAATAGAGGCTTCTTTTTTACTTTTAATTGTGAGGGCTTATTGCACTCCCAAAGCAGTGTGGTTATAAAGTTCTCATTAGGTGGTGGTAAAGGTATATAAAAATACAAATTGCTACTTTTAGATATAATATAAAATAATGCTATCTAAGTCCTTCTTATATATACCTTGTGTTCTTTTACCCTGCCAGGTAAAAACAAAATTGGTTGATTCTTTAGCTTATTCTTGGTTAACTAAATAGATAAACCTGGATGATTGTGGGATCCAGTTGGGCACTGGGTATGATTAATTAAATCAATTCAAATGAAAAAAAATGATTAGAAAAGAATAATTATGGGGCTGTTTTGTTTAGATTTAAGCAGAGAACTTTTTTTACTTTTGGCTTGAGACCAAATCATTATCTTTACCATGAAGTCTAGAGTTATGTCTACTTTGCAAACAGGAATCTTAACTAAATGGATCTTTTTGCCTGTACATCAAAGTTGGAAGCTCAAAAAGTGATAAATTTAGAATTCTATTGTGTCATGTTTATGAGACTGATAATTATGCTCCTAGGTAATATAGTTCTTTCTTTTTTGCTTGTAAAACTTCATGTTTCTTTTAACATTGAAAATATAGTTTAGATACATGCAGAATGTTGCTGATGAGATGTAGGAAGACAAAAGGACTAAGCAAAGAGAGACACACAGTTATGAACAAAATTGGGGATCAGATGAGGTAATATGCATGAAATACAGGATGGGGCAAAAGTAGGTTTATAGTTATGAGTACGCAAAACAGTTTATTCTTGCATTATTATTTATTAATTGTATTATTTTTCATACGAGCAACTGCAAAACCTACTGTTATGTTAGTTTCCAATCTTTTAGTTTCTCTCTTGAAGTACTTTCAATTATGTAATATATACCTTGCTGTTTTTGTTATAATATTTTTATAAAACTCTAATTAAGGAACGCCTGAAAGGGGAAAGGAAGTCACTTCCCGTGCTACAGACAGAGGAAGAAAGGCCATGTG